CAGGTTGTACCATAGCGACGAAGAAGAAGTTACCGCAGTAACAAAATCCTTGGAGCACATTCAGGAAACTATCTACCTTGGAAATGATTGTCATTTCAAAATGAATTGTTTTATGGAGTACTTTACAGCTCGGAAGTCTCGGTCACCTACCAGTAAAACGGTGTTTCTGTGGCCGACTGTGAGGAGCTGTCCTGCCCTCAACGCTGAAAGTCGAGCCCGGGCTCCCATAGCTCCCAGAGAGGCCGTCGAGAGAAGCCTCAAAAGCTGAGACATTCCGCCTTTCTGTCTGTTTTCTGTGTGACTAAAAAAAAACAAACGCGTTGCGTTTTGCTCAATTCGTCTGTCTTTGTCCACCTAACTCCATTATGTTGTGCTTTCAACTGTTGTTAGGTAAGAGCAACGACATGAAATGTCAACGGGAGGGTGATGTAAAGGTCCGAGAGGCTTTCCGTTCAAACACCGGAGCGAAATGTTTTGTATATAAACATAACTAAAACATTTCATGAATAAATTCAGATTACAGCATTTGTTTTAAAACGTATTTTATGTGTTTTGTATTAAATTTAAAAATAAGAATCAGTTTATGCGAATTGTTTATTCTTTTTTACGTTCAGGCACCAAAAAGGCTAACAATGGGTCCTAAGAGCACACCTTCTGTCTGATTGGCTGAGGCAGATTTCTCCTCTGTCAATCTCACGTAACTGTTACCAAAATGTGAGACTGCATTTTCCAGATGACACACGTAACGTGACACACATATATTTAATTAGTTATTAAAGAATACGTGATTGCATATGAGATTATTATTAAATGTTTTTACATTTCATATATTTAGCACGTGTTCGAAACCACCGACTTATCTGTGTATTGTTGATTTCTTGAAAATTAAGCACAGAACACAAACAATATTACTCGTTCAGTCATTTTCATTTTTAATAACTGTAAGATAAACAACTTTGCATACCAAAACTTATTTTTTAGATTACCAAAAATCAAAACTATCAACACATTCATGTGACCGTGACCTTTGTGTTGCATCATTCAGTTATTTGTCAATTTAATAATAAATGGGGAATGGCCTGTTTTCAATCAGGGCTTTTCAGGTTTAGTTTCACACTCAAAGTTCCTGTGCATTTTGAGCCACATTCATGCCTGAACTCCCAAAGGATGTCTGTATTCAGTATTCAGTATATGTAACATACATATATGTAACATACAACAATATTGTACAATATTCTATAATGTGTGCTATTCTTATATTCAAGTATTTCAAACATTAACAGCCGGATTGGATACTCAGATGTATCTGTGCTATTAAACTAGAAAGAGATCTTTATTTTTGTGTGTAGCGTGTGATGCTGAGAGCTCTCAGCTTCCTCTGTAGGTGCTGTAGGAGAAACGACTCATCAGAAGAGGGAGATGAAACTTCTGGGCTGGGTCAGTAATGGTGAACACAATCTGTGGAAACACACACACACACATTAAGTACTACGAAACATTACATTACTGTGATTTAGCTGATACCAAAATCCAAAGTGACTTAAAAGTGGGGCAACTTGGGTCTCAATACCTCGCCTGAAGTCAATTTAACATGTGAAAAAGAGACGATTTGGATCCTTCCAATGACCTTTTAACACACTATCATCTGAGCTAGAGAGATAGAGACACACACTCATACACAAAGTGCTGAAGATGAAAGGAAAAACCATAAAAACACAAATTACGGGATATTTCTTTATTTTGTATTTCATTAACATAGGATAAAACCTACTCATATCAAAATATTTCATAATAAAAGACTGTTGTGCTTCCTTTGCTGCTGAATTTAAATCACCAGACTCAGGTTACGTCACAATTACCTGGCTGGTTGTTGGGATTATGTGCTATCATTCTTTCCAAGCAACTCTCCAAGTAATTCTCTGGACATTTTCTCAGATTTTATGACACCTTGTGGTGATAAGCGGGGAAACTATTAGTTTTTTCTCATGTAGTTTTGCCAATTCTACTAATAAAAGCATTCATTTACATATCAATATTCTGCTTTTTTATTGTGCGTTTTTCTCCCATTTCTTGGCCCATCTTGGATGTGTCAGAGGTTTGTTTTTTTAACCAAAACAAATTATTAATCAAAATGTAAGCTTGTTTTTTTGTCCATCGTTGATCTGGGCCTTCTGGATTTTTTTTAAAGTGACCGTAAAACATGATTTAGGATGCTTTATTTGATCTCACCTCGACATACGGGTAGAAGGAGGTGTGACCCAGACTCTCCCAGTACGAACCCGTCTCAAAACGCAGTTTGTACATGCCGGGGGTGAAAGCTTCCCGGGTGACGAGTCCTGGGCAGCGGCCATCTTCGTTTGTTGTCCTAAAAAAATCAAAAATCATCTCAAAACATGACGGATACAGCTTCTTATGAAGTCATGCTCAACAACATGGATGGGAACAGGGACATGGAACGGGATAGCTTTTGGGACTCATTGAAAAGAACTATGGCTTCAAGTAATGTATCTGGGTGAAGTCTGATTTTCCCGGACAATTACCTTTCTCTCAACTACTGAATGTTTTTGAATTGACACTGTAACATACATATAATATATGACTGTACCCTGGGTATTGGGGGGGCGGGGGGTGGTGCACCAGCCTTTTTTGTTTTATATTTGTGTTTTATGTGAGATAATATTCAGAAAATCAATACAAATTTGAATTACAAAAAAAAAAAATCATCTCAAAACGACGTCTGTCTTACTGTAGACGTAATCCAGTTCTGTTTAGGTATCTATAAAACATATGAGATTGAATTGTTAATCCTAACCTATTAGTAAAACACAACGATTCGAAAACCTACCCGACGCTCATCATGGTCCAGACCATCAGATTGGAGTCCAGGCGGTGCAGGCTGAGGGCCATTTTGGCCCCTGGGACTCCATCGCTGGTGTTCAGCACATGAGTGGTCAGAGGGCTGACCTCTGCCACCGCCATGATCCGATGGGTCAGTGTGACCAGCTCAGCCTGTCCTGCAGAACCCTCAATTACTCTTTAAGCCACATATTTGGGTTGAAGATTAAATTAAAGTAAATACTAAGAAGAAAAGTTTTCATATTTGTTAACCCTTTGAAGCCTGATCCAAGAATAAAAGAAAATAGAAAATGACTTTTTTGGGGGTTTTAAGTCTTTATTTGGCCTTTTGATAAAATATGTAAAAAGAAAAAACAAAAATAAAATTTTAATATTAATAATTTATTACTATGCGATAAATCAAGATTATTTTTTGTGTTGGCATCCTGTTATCAGGTTTATCTTATTGTGTAAAATAGGATTTTGAGCAAAGTTTTTACCACTAAATTATGCAAAAGGTGTCAGACGCAAAACATTTCAGAAACGGTACGAATCAAATATGATACATTTGGCATTATAGGGGTTAATCTTGGTTTAATGAAAGTGAAATATGCTGTATGGTTGAACAGACTTCCTGTTATGAATTCTTCTCTCCACACAAGCCTTTAGAACCGGCACTGGACACAAAAGTGTTTAGTATCTGTTCTTCCACCGACGAAAAAGGAGGAGGCCGAAACGCAATTAGCTCCACCGAGGAACTATGATGATGACTCTATTACTTTAAGCACGATAACCAGATTAGGCTTCAGTCCCAAAACCCCACATGACAGGCTGTAATAGCTGCTACATGAATCTTAATTGTGGAATAAGTAAATTTTTCCAGCAAATTCTGCAGAAAACAGACCACGTCCACCACTGAATTTTGGATTTTGCTTGTAAAAACAATGCTTTTGTGTCTCAGTCTATACATGTAATACATGCACCTAATTGTGCAAAGATAAACTTTTATATAAGCACCTAAACAAACCTAACATGTAACCAAATATCACTAAAACGGACAATGATTAAGAAACAGGGCTATCAGTTTGGGGTTTTCTTCCATTTTTCAGCAACAAAAAATGTAGCAAGTCATTCCTGCCCACAACAATAAACCACTTTTTATTGTGAGAACTGAAGAATAAATTAAATATTCATGATCAGTTAAATACCCTCATGTTCATTTACTATTTTCCATAACACATTTTATGTCGTTATTCTAAGAACTTGAATCAATTTATAGCAAAATCAACAATGACTGTTGTAACCAAATCTATATTTTGGTAAATAGGTTGTGTTTAAATGTCCATGACATTCAATATTAATCTAGTTTTATATAAAGATAATGATGAAAACACATTTCCCACTAAAACACTGGCATGTTGTGAGAATTCTTTGATTAAGTTCTTGAACATTTACCACATAAAAATCCAAATACTATGCATACATATCAGTGCGATATACATTTTTAAAATCACACAACACAATTCACTCTGTTTATTAATCAAATCCCTGAAAATGTTCTTTCAAAAATGTTTTTAAAATGAAAATGGGATCAGAAACAGACTTCGGACTTGGATGGACGAAACAAATCTATTTCCTGGACATTGCTTAGATGTTTTGTTAACATTATGGCATTAAAATGAATCCTTAAAACGGCTTAATTTAAAACATCAGGACGTGTATTCATCAGAGGAGACTTACCAGTGGGTGAACACTCCCTTCTGCTTTAGTGACTCCTTTCAGTTCTCAAAACCCATGTTCTGAGTGGTTGTGTACTCCTCTACTGCTCAACCTCAGGAACAGCAAACAGAGTTGGGGTCAAAGGTCGTCCTGACTCTAATGAATCATTACGGCCGGTTCAGAGAGTCCAGCTTCCCCTCAGCAAACAACTTTTTTATTTACTAAATGATTTTTACTGTTCTAACGATTGGACAATTCTGATTTAATTAAACATAGACAAACAAAAAAAAAAGGTATTGTTCAATAAAACGGGTTTGATTTAGTTGTTCAGTTAATCTTCAAACATGTAGATCTGCTCTATCTCTTTAAAAATATATAATTTATTCCTCAGGTGATGGCCACATTTAGCAAACACCAACATTTAGTTACCAAATGAACACTTTTCCTGTTTTAGAAAAGATTAAGAACAGCATCAGAGAGCTTCAAACGTTCTGCCAAATTCTGTTTTCTGTGGAAAATCATTTTACATATATATGCTAAAGTGTGTTAAACTTAGCCAACAAACTAAAGGTTTTCAGTTTAAAAAACTTCTAATTTTTAATCAATCAATCAATCAATCAATCAATCAATGTTTATTTATATAGTACTTTACAACAACCAGATCTGACCAAAGTGCTTTACAGTAATTGAAACAGATCAAACAATCAAAATATACAAAATATACAAAGACAAATGCATTGGTGAAAGAGCACAGTTTACAGTCATTTTAAGTGCAAAAAGCCATTCTGAACAAATGTTTTCTTCTAATTTCTTCTGTGATGGACTGGCCACCCAATGGATGGACGGATGTTGTAACTGAGGTGGAGTTCCTGTAGGTGGAGACCTTTATTCTCATTTCTGTATGGCTGTTTGTGTTGGGTGAACTTGCTTTTCTTGTCTGTTTGCAGCTTTAGAAACCAGAGCATCCTCTTTCATTTGGTTTAATCAAACTATTTCTGATTTAAACTAGTCTGAAGGTATCTGCCTGACCTTTGACTTCTTGTCTTTTTTGTTGGGGGAACCATAAATGAGAGTTTTCTAAAAGACTATCAGAGAGTGAACTTGTTTTGCAAACATGTAAAATCTTAGAATTTGCATTTCAGAATTAATACAATGCACAAACTTGGACGCATGAATCCATAATACAAATATATAATTGAATAATTACAAAAATACTTTTGCTTCTTTCATAACATTCATTACAGGATATATAAAGAAGCATGAACAGTTGGAGTTATGGCAAATATATATATATGTGTTAATTAATGCTAATTGGTGCTAATTAATCCACATTAATAGCATATACATGATGACAGATTAGACTTTCTGTACAAAGAAGGATGAATAATTAAAGAGATATATAATAATGTAAACTTTTAATGTGAAAGGAACAATGGAATTTCTTTATATCACAGTTTTTTAACATTCTGTGACAACATAGTCAAAGCAAATTTTTTTCCTTTCATCCCCAGAAAAATGAGTCAACCCTGCGGGACAGTTTTCTTCCGAAACAACCAAAGAAAAGCAAAAAAGTTTCTCCGATGGCTGGTTTGCTCGGCAACACTGACTTAAACAGGAAGACTCATCAGACATGTAACTCTCCAGGAATTATGCAAATGACCCAAAGTTACCCAGTTAATAGAAGTAACCGACACGTGTTATTCTCTGGTCTGTTGTAAATCAAAGATCAAACTGAAATAAAAGTTGAAAAAAGGAAAATGACTGTTCATTTTAAAGGCAAATTATAATGTTCCAGTGAGCTTACAGTCATTGCTGCTGGCAGGACGGCCTGTACTTATACCGGGCTTTTCTTTCCTTTTCTATCCTAACTGACCTCTGAAAACACTTTTTGACATCAAGCCGCATTCCCTTAAACACACACTTTTAAGCCTAAAACATTAGAAACTTATACAGTTCTCCTTTCCATTTCAAACACATTCACACACAATGGACGGGTCATAGTCGTGTAGTTTAGTGTTTCAGTGTGTACTAAGTTCATAACTACTACCTCTGCTCTAAAATAATACTAAAATACTAAAATAACACTTTTCAAATAAGGCAATGTGGCACAGAGCCATAAGCATTTGATGGATCCAGAATTGATGGATCCAGAATTATAACTATAATTATAATGATATCTTACCTGTTTGAATCTGATGCCAAATCACTCAGTAAAACCCGGTGCCCCTGCCTCCTGCACACTCGTATGTGTTAGCCCTATAATGCCAAATGTATCATATTTGATTCATACGGTTTCTGAAGTCTTTTGGATCTGAGACTTTTTGCATCATTCAGTGGTAAAAGCTTTGCTCAAACCCCTGTTGTACGCATTCAGATATACCTGATAACAGCCAGTAGAAGACTAAACCAAGATATATTTTTGACTTATTGCACGCTAATTTGATCAAAATCATTTCTGTTTTTTTTCTTCAAATGTTGTTGAGGGGCCAAAGAAAGACTTCAGACTAAAAAAATCCAATATTCTTCCTATTTTTCTTGGACCAGGCTTTAAAGGGTTAAACTGTTTCTTTCTGGCTAATCTCTGTGCAACTGTACTCTACATTTTGTGAAAGATCTCATCCAGAACTGACTGTGAATCCGCTGGCCTAATGGAAACATGCACAGACTGAACCAAAGGGGCCCCAGGGTTGACCCCTGGGGAACCCCACAGGTCAGACCCGTTCGGTCTGAGAGACAGCTTCAAGGCTGCTCTTCCCAAGTGCCGGACCAATAGACTTAAGAATTTTTTTGTCCCCCACGCCATCAAACTGTACAACGCCTCACTGGGGGCGAGGAGGTATTACAAACACTGTACTTAATCTGTATTTTTTGTATTTTTATTTATCTATTTTTATTTTTTTTGCTTAATTTAATTCTAACTTAATACTTTTTGCCCTTTAAGCTGCTGGTAACCTTAATTTCCTGAGGGAGTCTTCCCAAGGGATCAATAAAGTACTGTCTAAGTCTAAGTCTCTTTAGAAGAAATGCACCAGTCTGATGTGAGATGTTGAGTAGATGAGCCAGTTGTGGGGACAAACTGCTCAACACAGACTTTAGGAATTCAATCTAAACTCATCCAGGCAGAATGTGGAGGGACTCCGGGTGAAGTTGATCTCTTCAGATGATACCCAGTGTTAGTTCTGGGTATCTAACTGGCTGCAGAGTGGTCATGTGTGATGTGAATACAATTGCATTTTGAATGCCTTCAATTAAGTGTAAATGGAGCATCTATCATTATAGGCTTCAATATCCACATTTAAAAAAAGATTTTTAAAAAGTTCTCCTGACCACGACAATGACGTGGGCTGTAATTTTGGGGAGGCGTATTTCCATTAAGTTTTCCCTAAAGATTCGTAGATAGTTCAGCGGGACAGTTCCAGACCTCAGCGGCAACTATTTTGAACAAAATTGATCATAAAATGTTAAGTGTGACCCCGCCTTTTGCCCATTGGCCACTGGGATAGGCTCCGGTTCCCCTGAGACCCCATTAGGGAATAAGTGGTTATGATGATGGATGGATGGATGGATGGATGGATGGATGGATGGATGGATGGATGGATGGATGGATGGATGGATGGATGGATAG